CATTGACCTCGCATTTACATTTGACGGCCATATTGGCGGCCATCTTGGATTTTGAATGAAAATCAATTATTTGCATAGGCCTAATTTATTAACTAAAAATCATATACAATCAAATGAATCTCTAAATGTATAATAGTAAGAAGTGCTTATGTTCTCAAAACAAAAAATTGACTTCTCAATACATTTGGCGGCCATATTGGCGGCCATATTGGATTGTCAATGAAAATCAATAATTTATATAATTTATTAACTAAAAATCATATAAAATCACATTAACCTCTAAATGTAAGCAGTGTTTAAGTTCTTAATACAAAACATTGACCTCGCATTTACATTTGACGGCCATATTGGCGGCCATCTTGGATTTTGAATGAAAATCAATTATTTGCATAGGCCTAATTTATTAACTAAAAATCATATACAATCAAATGAATCTCTAAATTTAAATAGTAAGCAGTGTTTATGTTGTCAATACAAAAAATTGACTTCTCAATACATTTGGCGGCCATATTGGATTGCCAATGAAAATCATTAATTTGTATAATTTATTAACTAAAAATCATATAAAATCAGATGAACCTCTAAATATATATGCCTATGGTATAAACAGTGTTTATTTTCTCAATACAAAACATTGAATTCATAATACATTATCCAGCCATTTTGGCAGCTATAATGGCAGCCATATTTAGCGGCCATTGTCTTTTAAATGAACATTGATTACCGTATAACATTTCAGCTATATTATACAAACAAAGAAATAACCAATTTTTTCAGAGTAATGTTGTAATTGGGAATTGATCGAGATCCATGACCTATGATTTAAGCAGGTTTGATACACTGAAATTACAAAAATATGAGAAGTCACTTTATTGACACTCAAAATTTAATACAAAACGCTCTGATCTTGGTGAAAAAGTGCCTTTTATTGGTATAGGCCTAATGTATGATATAAAAAATATTTTAAAAATAATGTTAGTCCAACCAAGGTACAAACTAAAAACTAATAGTCAAACTTAATGACCATGATTTGCTGTCCAATGTGATTGAAGCTCCCTGTTCACAAATGCTATCCACACCACTCGGTCAGATGCAATGTTTAGTTTCACAATAAATCTACTGTACATTTATTATAGTACTACACATGCTGAGTCTTTTTTGTGGATGTTTTACAAAGAAAATCCCTTATAAAATAATTTAATTCCTTCAATGACTATAATTAATGGAGGACCTGCTCTACACATACTTTATTATTACTGCCGCCAAGGAGGTTATGCATTCACTGTTTGTCTGCCTTTTAGCAAGATCACACAAAATGGATCATCATAAAATTTACCAGAGTGGTACATATAATAATCACAAGGCTTGTTGCAACAGAATATCGGCCTATTAGCTTGCTTGAAGCTGAAGTTACCAATCCGATGGGTCATTGGTTCAAAATTTGGGATATAGGTTGTGGGTGCTTCATTGCAGCCACAAAGTTTAAAAGTATTGAGAACACACTTCTGACCAATCTCCATGATGACATCCTCTCACTGCTTCCATAGATCCTTGATGACTGAATATTCTGTGCCTGGCTGGTAGATAGGGGTAATACTGGCGATTGTTGACTTACAGAAGAGTTTTTCACCAGACCTGAGACAAAGCCACCATATCCTGGAACAAAGTTGTTTCTCTCTGCTGCTACCAATATGCAAGTAACCAGACATACTCTTGATTGCACTTTGTTACACTGTTCAGTATAGGCAGATTGAATACAGCTCCCTCAGACAATTTGGGCCCAACAAAACATGAACTGGTGCCAGGGTCACGGTCATATCCCCTTTCAAGGAGCACATTTTGCTTCGTTTGTAGTCAGGAAGCGTCCAGAGCTCAACCAATGGTTTTACCTCTTGTACCTTGATTCCACCAGCATTGTTCAACAAAGTTTGAACCATGAATATTTGTCATAATTTTGTTCAGATTGTCCCACTCGAGATGAAATATGCTGTTGAGCTGAGGAGTGATGGACGTGCATAGTCAAGAGCTGATGATAAATCTGAACAAAATTATGACAAACATTCAAAGGTGTTGAACAGTGCTGGAATCATACTACAGGAGTTGAAACCAAAGTTTGGAGCCAGTAAACCAGAGAAAATGCTCCAGATGCTAATTGTCTACGTATGAAGCAAGATGCGCTCATGAGAGTGGATATGGCCAAGATCCTGGCATCAGTGTATATATTATGGTCGTGTTGGGCCAAAAACTGTCTGAAGGAGCTGCATTCACTCTGCCTGCGCAGATATCTGGTTATTGCACGTGCAGTGGGGAACGTAGAGAAACAACTTGTTCCAGGATTTGGTGGTTTTGTCTCAAGTACTGGTGAAAAAGTTACCCCTATCAACCAGCCATTAACAAACTATTTTGTCACCAAGGAGCTACGGAAGCAGTCGTCCGAGGAAACCACTATCCATGGAAATTTGATAGGAATATGTTCTCAAAACTGTTGCGGTTGGTGGTGGTGGTTGTAAGCCCTCCCCCTAATTACCTAGCAGAGACAACCTAAAACTAACTTCAAATGATTTTAAATATTCTGGTCTCGTTTTAGCACAAAATAAGGTTTGTCTTATTCAACTAAGGCATAAGAAGCGAATGGTCACTGCCATTGAGGTAGAGAACTTGAGGAAATTTGACGTGGGTGAACATGCATGGAGTTAAAAACAACAGAGATGAGTTAATTAAGCATGTAAATGGATGTGTAATTAAGAGGCTGGGTCCGCTCAACTTTTTGGTGCAAGTTGCGGGAGCCTATACGCTACTGTCATGCCGACCATCTGTTGGCTAGTGTTCCTGTCAATGACGTAAGTGGGTATAATCCAAGGGAAGCAGCGGGATCCACTCCACATATGGTACCGGTAACCCACCCTGAGCCTTTGCCAACGCAAAGTTCCACACTCTCTGAAACTCCAATGGTGGTCGAAAACCTCAGAGTGAGTGAACCGGTTGACAAAGGTCAAATAGTCCTACCAGCTCAAAAACCCCTATTGTGAAGATCCTCACGATAGTTAAGGCCCTAGACCGTCTGAATTTGTAGTTCAAAGTTAGTTGTGGGAGAATGTAGCGTACTGCACTCTCAATCAATTCCTAATTACAACATAACATTGATTATTTATTTTTTGTATGATATATAGGTCAAATGTTATACCAATAATTAAGTTTCATTGAACATTCAAAATGGCCGGCAATATGTCCGCCAAGTGTATTGCTAAGTCAAAGTTTTGTATTTAGAATATAAAACAATGCTTACTGTATACATTTGATTTTACGTGATTTTTACTTAATAAATTACGATATACATTAAATTAATGATTTAAAAAAAAAATCCAAGATGGCCACTAAAATGACTGCGAAATGCATTTAGAAGTCAAGGTTTTGTATTGAGAACTTAAACACTGCTTACTATATACATTTAGAGGTTCACTTGATTTTGTATGATTTTTAGTTCATAAATTATACAAATTAATGATTTTCATTTAAATCCAAGATGGCCACCAAAATGGCCGCCGATATGGCCGCCAAATGCTTTGAGAAGTCAGTGTTCTGTATTGGGAGCATAAACACTGCTTGCTGTTTAAAGTTAGAGGTTCACTTGATTTAATATGATTTTTAGTTATTAAAATATACAAATTAATGATTTTCATTCAAAATCCAAGATGGCCGCCAATGTGGCTGTCAAATGTAAATACCAGGTCAATCTTTTTGTATTAAGAACATAAACACTGCTTATTATATACATGAGAGGTTTATTTGATTTTACATGATTTTTAGTCAATGAATTTTAAAAATTAATTATTTTCGTTGAAAATCCAAGATGGCCGCCAAAATGGCCACCAACAACCCCATGGGACATTTTTTTTATGGGAACATCAAAATTCTTTCATGAGACACTTTGAGGATTACAAAAATGTTAGTTAAAAAATATATTCTGGGGGTGCATGGGAACCCCCGTTCCTACCGGACTTTATATAAGATAAGAAGAATTTTTACTTAATTAACGGAAATCGATTGCTTGCAGTTTATTACAATATACATTGTCTTATAGTACAATAATATCATAAAAGTAAAATATATACATACGTACAAAATAGGCCTATGTGAAAACAATTCAATTGATAATAACTCTAAAGCAACTTACTAGCAAATATTTGAATACAATAATTCCACTTATCATACTTAAACCCTATTTAAATACAAATAACGCCATAACGATTGTACTGCCAGTAACATTTTTACAGAGTTCACACTAATAATGATAACAATAAAATTTAGATGATGATGATAATAATAATAATAATAATATTAATAATAATAATAATAATAATAATAATAATAATAATAATAATAATAATAATAATAATAATAATAATAATAATAATAATAATAATAATAATAATAATAATAATAATAATAATAAAGTTTAACTTATATATAGCGTTAATGCAAAGCTTCTATGCGCTTCGGAAACAAAAAGATAAAATGTTGAAAAGTCTGGCACAACAAAATGCAAAATGTAGGCCTGATTTGTTGGACGTTTTTACAAAAAGTGCGCACACACAAAACGTCTACAACATTCTCGGAGCATAAAAGAGAAGAAAAATTGAAAGTCCTGTATGCTTATAACTAAATTCTCTTTGTTTAAATTTTGGTTATTTTGGTTTGAAATATTACTGTTCATTAGCTTATCACATTCACAAAGACATTGTAGAGAATTATGTGAATCAGAAACTGTCCCGAAAAGATTCACTATTAAAGTTTATACACAGAACACCGTACATTTCTTTGTATATATTCGGGATTGTATACCCACTGTCTCAACACCAGTCTTCAGTAATCGGGAAAACGGTCACTGCCTCGACATTGGCCTAACGTCACTGACCATAGACTCAAAGTCAAAGCTATTATAAACACCGTCAATGTTGCACGTATTCTTAAACACTGTCGGTTTTCGTCACCCACCAAGCACGGTATCGCGTTAGTGCAGTTTTTATATTTAGGTTCTAAAACATATGATTAACTTAAAGCCTATTTACTCAGATGGTAGATTGGTCAAGTGACACGACTACCAATGGATTATTTCCAGGTACCAGAGTAGACAAAGGTATTTCCTCATCATTCAGGTTAGCACCTTTATTGAGTTTACCTCCACCCTTAATCTCCCAATCATCTTCATTAAGTTCGTCAATGAATTTTAAATTTAGCTGATCGGCTAGCCAGCCTAAAGAACTGTCGATATCTTTGTTATCTTGATCAACTTTTACTGATGTCTCCTGGACATTTTCAATATCTATATCCATGTACGACTGCAGACGAACGTCCTGAAACAAAAAATTTCTTTAATTAAAGAGTTGTTATACTTCTTTTATAACATAATAAACTAAATAAATAATATTGTAACGTTTCTGTAGCATTGTATTAACATTATTTTCTGACATACGGTATCTACCCACAAGGTTTGCGAACGTTATATAACATTTATGTTGATTATTAGTATTAACCATTCTAATATTAACCATATTTGGACTTCACTCATTAGTTAATAGTGATATTATCAAACAACTGATATGTGACTGGATTGGTGAAGGAAAGTACTGTAGTGTTTGATGATGTAATCAAGATATATATCTGTCTCTTATAC